GCTGGGCTGGTTTGCCTAAAAATAAACAAATTCAAACAACAGAATTTTTCAGGAGTGGTGGGGAACTTAGAACGTAGGATCTCTAATTGACCTCTCTCAGTGAAAAACTATGGGAAGCTATCAAATTGTACAGTTCATGTTGAGATTTAAGTAAAGAATAATCTTCACCTGCATTGTAAGGAAGAGAAGGGTTAGCAACAGATTACAACAGGGAGATTGCTAAAGAATCACAGTTTAAGACACTGAGAATTTTCCACCTCCTCCACCTCCATATAGAAGAAAGAAAGAAAAGGAAAGGAATAAGGTTCTTAGTAAGTGTTTCTGCCTTGGACTGTATTCTATGGCAAGCAGAGAAAAAGGAACAGAATGAGCCAGCCCTAAATTCCAATTGCTTCCATTTGGCATTTTTCTTCTAGCAGCTTTCCCTTTACGCATTCAAAGAAGTTAGGTTACTCATTGCAAAATGAGGAGAGTTTGCTTGGATTCAATGTGTTACCCACCATCTTTCTTCTCTCTCTCTTCTGTGAGTCTCTTCTCTGCAAGTTTCTCATATTCATCTTTGTCCCACTTTCGGCGGAAGTCCAAGTTCTTAGTCTGTGAGAGAACCAAATGAATTAGGATATATCACATTCTATTCTCAGCAATGAGACCGAGCCTGGAGAGAGCTCGAATGATTTGGTTTGCTGGGCCACACTGACAAATCAAGATCACTCAATTTCAGTCACCCCCATCTACCCACAGCCAGAAACAGGGGCTCTAGCACAGAAAGATACTGCTGTGCGGGAATAGAAAACCTGTCAAGAGATTCCACAAGGACTGAACCAAATAGCAAATTAAATTTTCCAAGTTTCACAAAATACTCATCCCTGTCTTTCAAATAGGCACAGGTACATGGATTACTTGTGTGTTTGGAGACAGGGTTTCCAAGCACAAAGTGAAAATTTTAAGTTTTCTTGATTAAGCCAATTAAATGTGAATCCAAAAGAGACTGTTAGGAAGCCAGATAAGGCAAGGATAAATTCTTGAGGGTCTTAATGTGTAGAGATGTACATACATGCACAGACACCTAGACTGCACATGAAGGATTAAAGAGCTTTTATTGACATGGCTAGGAAATAAAAGAAACAAAGCAACAAGTCAGTTATTAGATCCAAGTATCCAACTTAATACTGATAAAACCTGTATACACTAGGCAAGACATACACAAAATAAACTTTATAAAAAACCTTCCATTTTCTCTGGTCAGATATTTTCATATCCCTCTTATTGTAAAGCCAAGACACAGATCTCAGGTGAACAACTGCACAAGATTCACAATCAGTTAGTCCATGACTAACGCCCCTTTCCTGGCTTTCAGAAAAGAAAAGCAGCAGGAAAAAAGGAAACATTTCTGGTGTAGACTTTTTGCACAGAAACCCTCTTTAGGATATATATATATATATATATATATATGCTTAGAATAAAACAGACTTCTCTTAATTTTATTTAACAGCAACAGAAGTATCAAGATTTAAAATCCTCTTCATGTTTTTAATTTTTAAAAATTAATAAAAAGGAAAGTCTTCCTATGGAAATCTCTTTGCTCATGTCTGGGGGAAAGGGGCTAGCATGTGCTGGCATAAAATGTATCCTCCCGTTGGTTAATCAGACCAAGAATCCAGTCAAGCTCCAAAGAAAATAAAAAACTTCATTTAAGACTACAGCAGCAGTGCAATCATTCAAAATTTTCACCTCCTGGCAATCCTTCCAACATAAAGAATAGCTACTGATGAGAATAAGAATGCCTGGGAGATAGGTAGCACGCTTCTCATTTATTCCCAGAGCTTCTAAAGCATTTTAAGCATGTTATAACAAAGATTTTTCTTATTAGCTTCCCCAAGCAAGAAGAAAAGGAGATTCACAAAGTGTAAATTAATGTTTTGGGGTATTTTCCAGACTATATTCTCCCACATAGAAACAGTATTATCACAAATCAAAGTTGGTTGGAGCCTGGAGAGAAGGCAATTTACTTGCTGCCTCACTCTCTTTTTATAATAAAAAGGATATCGTCTTCTGAAGATCTTTTACCAGTGTCCCTAGGCCAGACACAGTAGAATAAATCAAACCCAACTTCTGATCTAGCTGTAAAAAGGCCATCGCTAGCAATTCTAAAGGAACTTTTTCAGATTGATCAAAAATGGGACAGGGGTTGCTGGAAACCCCTAAATCTTTATCTAATAACTGCTCAGGGGCTACAAATAATATTCTCCCAGTAGAGGACATCAGATAGGAACTAAAAGAGTACACAAAAGCCTCATAATCATTGCAGGGCACAAACTGAAGGGACTTGTTCAATGTCATGTAGCAACACAACTACAATGCTCAGAACAGAACTCAGGAGTCCCAATTCAAGACTTCTGCTCTGACAAATGGACATGACACTCTACAGCCAGGAACACAAGCCAGGGCCCCAATTTGGCCTCCTGTGCTGACAGACCACGCAACCACTCAAACATTCTTTTTTCTGCTCACTTTTCACGGTCTGACTCCAAACAACGGAAATATT